ATTGGCCAGGTTGTTCTCAAACTCCTCAGCTCAGGTGATCCACCCACCTCAGCCTCCCAAAGTGCTGGGATTACAGGCGTGAACCACTGTGCCTGGCCTAGAAAGGTAACACTTGAAGTAAAAATTGTTCACTGATTATTCATAAAGTTCAGAAGAGGCCTTAGGGAAAAAAATGGTGTGCTTTAGGGAAAGGGATTTGGAGTATAATTTTCTGAAATGTAAAGTTATTTTCATAAAAAAAAATCTTTTAAAAACTTACTTTTTGCATTAAAGCCATAATTATGAAAATAAACTACATCATAGTACATGATATGAATTAAATATTGATAAATAGACTTCTCTAAATTGAAGAGGAATCATTTCAAATTTCTTAAAAATTTCAATCCTAGAAATTTTTTAAGTTTTGGATAAAAACAGTTGCACTTTCATCTTTCTTTTTTTGTAAATCATTATTCACCTGGATATTAATGTAATTTTAAAAAATACTTAAATAACCACCTTTGGCTAGAGTCACAGAACAAAAAAAAAAAAAAAAAAAAAGAAAAAGAGAAAAGCCCACAAATTTAAATCCTCAGCTTCTGTTAATTATTCATGATCAACCAGTCTTCATTAATACATATATATACTGACATTTTAAACCTATTTGAATTGCATATGATACTTTAAAGATTCACAAGAATTTGCCCTCAAAGGCAATAAACTTTCTGATACCTGGGACTCTATTCTACCAGTTGTATTTCACACAGTTACAGAACTGATAGTTAATAAGATAAACTGGGCTGGGAGCAGTGGCTCATGTCTGTAATCCCAGCACTTTGGGAGGCCACGGTGGATGAATCACTTGAGTTCAGGAGTTCGAGACCAGCCTGGCCAACATGGTGAAACCCTATCTCTACTAAAAAGACAAAAATTAGCTGGGCGTGGTGGTGCATGCTTGTAGTCCCAGCTACTCGGCAGGCTGAGGCATGAGAATCACTTGAACCCAGGAGGTAGAGGTTGCAGTGAGCAGATATTGTGCCACTATACTCCAGCCTGGGTGACAGAGTGAGACTCCATCTCAAAAAAAAAAAAAAAAAAAAAAAAGGACAAACTCAAGTATTGACAGATTCTGTGGTGTGATATGAATCAAACAAAATCTAAATCTGAATCTTTAAGTATGAAGAATGCTTTAGGCTGGGCACAGTGACTCACTCCTATAATCCCAGCACTTGGGGAGGCCAGGGCAGGAGGATCACTTGAGCCCAGGAGTTTGAGACCAGCCTGGGCAACATGGCAAGATCCCATCTCTATTTAAAACAAACAAACAAAAAACTGTTTAATGTTTTCTAATTTTTTGAAAATTGGATATCCAACAATGTCAGGATATCTGGTGGCAACTCTTCTAACAATATCTGATTTCTCACACCATCCAGAACAAATTATTTTCTATCCTAACTGTTCTTCAGCCTTTATTGGTCTGCTTCACTGTTCTCTAAAAAATATATTTGGACATTAACTATAAAATCAACTAAAAACATATACAAAACGGCCTAAGAGGCTGGGTGCAGTGGTTCACGCCTATAATCCCAGCACTTTGGGAGGCTGAGGCAGGAGGATCGCTTGAGCCCAGGAGTTCAAGACCAGCCTGAGCAACACAGCGAGACCCTGTCTCTATTAAATAATTTTAAGAAAGAAATGGCCTGAGAAACATTTCAAGAAAGCATACTAAATGACAGAAATTCTACTTAATATTTTATAACATAGTCAACTAATGATGAATAATTTTGTGAACTCTGGAAACAGAAAAGGAACAGTGTCATGGAAGAAAAAATTTCTGCAATAGGAAAACTCTTCATTAGTGAAAATGATACCAATAAAAGAACAAAATAATCTGGGCTTGGTGGCTACACATGTAATCTTAGCACTTAGAAAGGCAGAGGCAGGAGGACAGCTTGAGCCCAGGAGTTCAAGACCAGACTGGGCAACATAGTGAGACCCCATTCTTCATACAAAAGAAAGAAAAAAAAAAAAGAACAAAATAAGAGACTAATAGTGACAATACAAAAATCATCTTTAAATCCCTAGGCACAAGGTTGAGCTGTTCTTTAACTATGATAATTAACCAATAAGTTTCATTTGAGAGCTGAATACCCCAAAATGAAGTGTGATGGTGGTGGAGTTAAAGGAAAATGTTCACCAGTTAAGCCTTCTAGTTTTTCATTAGTTATTCATATTTAAAAACTCCAGCCTGGTCAATATGGTGAAACCCTGTCTCTTCTAAACATACAAAAATTACCCAGGCGTGGTGGCGCGTGCCTGTAGTCCCAGCTACTCAGGAGGCTGAGGCAGAAGAACCACTTGAACCTGGGAATCGCGACACTGCACTCTGGCCTGGGCAACAGAGTGAGACGCCGTCTCAAAAAATAAAAAAATAAAAATTAATCTACTTTCTACTCATTATATATAAACTCCTATGTTTTTGCTATGTATTTTTTCTTTTTTCTGTTGAGACATGGTCTCATCCTGTTGCACAGGCTGGAGTGCAGTAGCACAGTCTTGGCTCACTGATGATCCTGGAACAATATATTGCTACAAAAGGTAAGGAAGTGCTCATCAAGACAATGATGGAGATATGTCAAAAGGACACTGGCCAAGTCTAGGACAATTTGACCATCAAAATAAATAATGACAGTAACACACTGTAACCTACTGAGAAAGTAAACTGTGAATCCATACCAATATAAAAAAAAATGGGAGAGAAGGAAAAGCTCTACTCTACAGTATATTGCTGACCAGTAAATCTAGAAGGAATGATAGAATTTGGTTTAAAAAAACAAAAAAAAAAAACAAAAAAAAAAGGAAAGGGGAAAAAAACACCATTGGCAAATCTCATAGTACTAACTGATTTCAGCAAGAATCATCAAGGGATGCTGCAATCAGTAAGGCCAAATTTGGTGACATGGCCAAACATGGTGACTCATTCCTATAATCCAAGCATTTTGGGAGGCTGAGGCAGGAGGATTGCTTCATCCCAGGAGTTTGAGACCAGCCCAGGAAACAAAGCTAGACCCCGTCTCTACAAATATTAAACAATTAGTCAGGTGAGGTGATACATGCTTGTAGTCCTAGCTACTTGGGAGGCTGAGGCAGGATTGCTTGAGCTCAAGAGTTTGAGGTTGCAGTGAGCTATCACCACACCACTGTGTTTCAGCCTGAGCGACAGAGTGAAATCCCATCTCAAAAAAAACCCTTTCAAGGAAAAAAAAAAAAAAAATCACCATTTGGCAAACCTCACAGTAATAACTGATCTGGGCAAGAATCATCAATGGATGCTGCAACCAGTAAGGCAAAATTTGGTGACAAAGAAATTATCTGCATCATCTTAAAGTATCTGCCCACGACACTTAATTACTAATTTTTTTTTTTTTTTTTTTTAGATGGAGTCTCACTCTGTCGCCAGGCTGGAGTACAGTGGCACGATCTTGGCTCACTATAACCTCCACCTCCCGGGTTCAAGCGATTCTCCTATCTCAGCCTCCCAAGTAGCTGGGACTATAAGGGCACACCACCACACCCAGCTAATTTTTGTATTTTCAGTAGAGACGGGGTTTCACCATGTTGGCCAGGATGGTCTCAATCTCTTGACCTTGTGATCCTCCCACTTCAGCCTCCCAAAGTGCTGGGATTACAGGCATGAGCCACCGTGCCTGGCCATTAGTTAATTCATAAGTACAAAATATTTATTAACTTTACATTGGAGAAATCTGGTAGACACAATCTTAACTAAATGATAAAAGTTAACATCACCAGTAACACTCCTCATGACACACTGAGAAGACAGCAGCACCACTTCTGTAGTACTCCCGACAAAAATATATAAATCACGTGGAAACAGCAGACAGATCCCAGTCAAGGCATATTCTATAGACTAACTAGACTGTACTCTTCAAAAATGTCAAGGTCACGCAGGACAAGAGGAACTGTTCATATGAAGGAGAGTAAAGGCATATGACAACTACATGAAAGATAAGATCTTGGACCTACAAAGGCCATTATTGAGATAATCAGTTCAATTTGTAGGGCTCGGTGGCAATAGTGGATTACTGTTAATTTCCTGATTTTGATGGTTGGATTGTAGTTATGTAGGTGAGTGTCTCTGCATCTGAAAAATACACAATGAAGTATTAAGGGGTCATGGAACACCATGTTTGCACCTTATTCTCAAATGGTGCAGAAATGATTTTAGAGAATCTGGGTAAAAAATACATAGGAGCTCGAGGTAAAACATACATGTAATTTAGATACGTTGCCAGGATACATGTGTAAAAGTTCTTGATCTCCTAGGTTCCACAGGGTTTCTATCGACTCCTTTCCCCAGGGAAAACTGTAGTAAAGTTTGTTTCCTTTCCTGCCTTCTTCATCCTGACAGTCACTGCTGGTGAAGTTAGATGGACTCATGGCAAACTGGAAAAGAAAATTTAAGTTTGTCTTAACATATAAATACATGATAATTTAACTCTACTCCCATAATTATCTGTAAGAATTTAAATTGATACTTTTTAATTCAGCAAATGTGTGAAACTACTCAAGTCCCGAAAACAAATTTTAAAATATATTCTAATTTAGTTTTTTTTTCTTTTTGAGATGTGTCTCATTCTGTTGCCCAGGTTAGAGAGTGCAGTGGCTATTCACAGGTGCAATCATAGCTCACTGCTGCCTCCTACTGCTGGCCTCAAGCAATCCTCCTGCCTTAGGATTCAGAGTAGCTGGGACCACAGGTTGCTGAAATTTAGTTTTTAAAAAGTGAAAATACTGGCTGGGCGCAGTGGCTCACGCCTGTTATCCCAGCTCTTGGGGAGGCCGAGGCAGGGGGATCACTTGAGCTTAGGACTTCGAGACCAGCCTGGGCAACAGAGCAAAACATCTCTACAAATAATAAAAGAAGTTGCAGTGAGTTGTGACTGTGCAACTGCACTCCAGCCTGGGCCAAAGAGTGAGATTATGTCTCTAAAAAAACGAAGATGGCATCAGTTGTACCAGTGAAGGACGAGACGCTTCTGGAGGTCAAACTAGGGGAGCTGCCAAGGTGGATCTTGATGTGGGACTTCAGCCCTAATGGCACTGCTGGAGCGTTTCGAAGAGGTTACTACTGGTACTACAACAAGTACATCAACATGAAGAAGGGGAGCATCTCAGGGTTTACCACGGTGCTGGCAGCCTACATGCTCTTCATCTACTGCCTTTCCTACAATGAGCTCAAGCACGAGTGGCTACGCAAGTACCCTGAAGAAGACACACTCTGTACTCCCCCAACAACCTTCTTGGCCAGAGCCCCTCCATAAGGAACACAATCTCGATTGCTGCTGAATCCTTTCATATCCTAATGGGAATTAACCTCCAAATATAAGATGACTGGTACTTGTGGAAAAAAAAACAATAACAAAAACAGACAACAAAAATAAAAGTGAAAATACTGAGTATATTGCTTAAAGTATTGTTTTTTAGTAGGAAAGAACTACAGAGAAAAAACTGTTGATGTTATCCAGCCTTTTTATGGCCAATAAGGAAGAGGGGATGTTAACCATGAACTAAACTGGGATAAAGAAGAAAGTAACAGATAGTCCAGTCCTCATTCTTACCCTTCTGTGAAGTTCTTGATGACTCGTGATTATTCCATACAGTTTAAATGGGTATTTGGGGATGTTTGAGTCGGGAAATGGTAACATAACACATGGCGAGACAAAAATGCTTACTTCAACTCTTTTCTTCAGTGAGTACTAAAACTTGATTATCAATTATAGAGCCATTTTGACTAATATGGAAAGTTCATGGAGGTAGGTAGGAAAAGCTGAAGCTGTGACAATGGTCAAGGGTCAAACTCTACATCAGCCAGAAATGCTAGGTGAGGGCTTTGAATTTCACCTTATACAGAAAGGCTAATCAACAAACACATCTGAGTCCAACAAATGTTTTTACCAAAGTAACTTTGTAATCTGGAACAATGAAAACCACTACAAAGAGGTTTTTTATTTGTATAACATATTAATAGCTACATATATCAAATAAAATTTCATGTATGTCAGAAGAATTACCACTGATACATTATGACAGTTTATTAACTATTAAAGTTTATTGTTGCAGTACCTTTCTCCACCACTGGAGTCGATGACGTAACCAGAAATCAAGCCATTGGTTTGAAGTTCTCGCAGGAGTAAACCATACTAATGAAGCTTCAGTCTTCTCACCAATTCTTTAGATATAAAAAAAATCACGAAGTTAGCTTATCTGAAAATTATATAATCTATCCCAAGTGGAAATGACTGGTTTTTGACTATTTAAATACAAGGCCAAGTTATTTGCCACTTTTTATACCTTTTAACACCATTTGGTATCTGCTTAGTGTCAAAAACAGGATGAAAACACACTCCAATCTGAGCAAGGCCATAAGGTAGCCTCTTGTTTACCAGATCCAGGCAATTAACATAGTGTTCCAAGGCACCTGTCAAAACATAAATAATTGTATACATCTAGTCCACAAACCCAAATTACTTTTGTCAATAGATACATCTATAGTAGTGATAATGTTAACACAGCAGTACAAGTATCATGGAGCTATAAAGACAGATCTTGGCCGGGCTCGGTGGCTCATGCCTATAATCCCAGTACTCTGGGAGGTCGAGGTGGGCAGATTGCTTGAGCTCAGGAGTTCTGAGACCAGACTGGGCAACACAGCAAAACCTCATCTCTAAAAACATACAAAAATAAGCCAGGCATGATGGTGTGTGCCTTGTAGTTCCAGCTACTTGGAAAGCTGGTAGGTGGATCACTTTAGCCTGGGAGGCTGAGGTTGCCGTGAGCTGGGATGGTGCCACTGTGCTCCAGCCTGAGTAACAGAGTGAGACCCTGTCGATCACCACTTAATTCTAGGTAGTTTCACCCCGACTTTTTAGTTTGAAGTTTTCTTTTTTTTTCTGAGATGGAGTCTCGCTCTGTCGCCCAGGCTGGAGTGCAGTGGTGTGGTCTCGGCTCATTGCAGCCTCCGCCTTCCGGGTTCATGCCATTCTCCTGCCTCAGCCTCCCTAGTAGCTGGGACTACAGGCACCCGCCACCATGCCCAGCTAATTTTTTTTGTATTTTTAGTAGAGACGGGGTTTCACCGTGTTAGCCAGGATGGTCTCCATCTCCTGACCTCGTGATCTGCCCACCTCAGCCTCCCAAAGTGTTGGGATTACAGGCATGAGCCACCTTCCCCAGCGAAGATTTTCAAACCTACAAGAAAGTTGAAAAAATAATAAACATCCATATACAGTGAACACCTGTATACCCTTTACCTAGATTCATCAATTATCAACATTTTGCTACATTTTTTTTTCTTGTTCACTCCCAAATACTGCAGCATGCATCTTCTAAAAATAAAAATATTTCCTATATACCATTATACCACCATAAAAAGTGAACCATAATACCACAGTATAATCTAACATATGGCGGATATTTTATTTGTTCCAATTTTCACCCCAAATATCTTTTACTGTTCTCTTTCTTTCCAATTAAGATTCACGTATGGCATTCTGAGTAGGTTTCTTTCATCTCTTTGAATCTAGAACATTTCCCCTGACTCCTTTCCCCCTTAATTTTGCTATTAATGACACTAACTTTTGAGTCCAGGTTAGTCACAGATTATCCCACATTTGGAATTTGTCTGATTGTTTCCTTATGATTTACTTTCGGCTAATAATTTTTAGCAAAATACTACATAGTAGATGTGTGTATCTTATTGCATAATAACAGGAGAAACATGTTATCAAGTTATTCCACTACTGATGACACCAAATTTGATTACTTGGTTAAGGTAGTAAATATCCACTCCCCAATAATATCCTGCTCTCCAACAGTATTTCACCCAATATTTTAGAATCCATTGATGACTGTTGCTTGAATCAATTGTATCAGGGATTGCAATATTAAGAAATGGTGAATTTTCTAATGTATCTTTCCTTCTACATTTATTCCATAGCTTCTGTAAAAACATAAGCTTTCTCTACCTCTTCCCCACACTCCCAACCTCTAGGCTCAATTATTTGTTTTTGATTAATACTATGGGCTCTTAGATTTTAATCAATGTGTTATGATCCATTATCATTAATATGTATCTTAATGTTCAATTTGTCCTAGACGTAGCCAGTGACAACCCTTCTCAAGTCAGCATCTGTGACCTTTTGATATGACCCATTAGTCTTCAAGCAATTCTTTGCTTTTTAGCACTATAAAGTGTTTTAAACTCACCTTGTACTTCCCCTAACCCCAGAACTGGAATCAGCCATTTCTCCCAGTACTGGTTCACCTTAGAAACCAAGATCTGGGCACTAGGTGTGCTCATTGCTACGGAGGGACATTGCTTCTAGGAACATTCAATGAAGAAAGTTAGGAAATATATTTTTAAAAACCATAAGGCTAGGCAGTGTGGCTCACACTTGTAATCCCAGCACTTTGGGAGGCCAAGACGGGCGGATTGCTTGAGCTCAGGAGTTCAAGACCAGCCTGGACAACATGGCAAAACCTCATCTCTACGAAAAACACAAAAATTAGCTGGGTGTGGTGGCATGCGCCTGTAGTCCCAGCTACTTGGGAGGCTGAGGTGGGAGGTTCACTTGAGCCTCAGAGGTTGAGGCTGCAGTGAGCCATGATCACACCACTGCACTACTGCACTCAAGTCTGGGTGACAGAGTGAGACCCATATTCGATTTTAATTTACCAATTCATATTTAACATTAGTTTATACGTACCTTCTTTTACATATTATCTCTTTTTTTACAATGAAAATCTTGGTTCCTAATAACAACTAACCCAACTATTTGATTTTTTTTTTGAGACGGAGTTTTGCTCTTGTCACCCAAGCTGGAGTGCAGTGGTGTGATCTCGGCTCACTGCAACCTCTGCCTCCTGGGTTCAAGCGATTCTCCTGCCTCAGCTTGCCAAGTAGCTTGTTCACTCCCAATACTGTGGCATGCATCTTCTAAAAATAAAAATATTTTAATTTTTATTTAGTTCGCCATCACGGCCGGCTAATTTTTGTCTTTTTAGTAGAGATGGGGTTTCACCATGTTGGCCAGGCTGGTCTCCAACTCTTGACCTCAGGTGATCCACCCGGCTCAGCCTTCCAAAATGCTGGGATTACAGGCGTGAGCCACTGCGCCCGGCCTTGATTTATCCTGTGATACACGTGAAATAGTTTCAGAATTATAATTTCAATGTTTCCACTTGGAATAAATCTAAGAAAAGTTCAAAATGTCTTTGTAGTTCCTTATGCACTTAGACTACACTGCACTAAATGACAGCACTGTGTTCAAAAGTTGCCCCGTGAAATTGAGAGCGTTTCCAGGTCCTTCGGACAGATTCTTTAAGGAACAGCAATGATTCCAAGGACCAGTTTTCTCCAGGGTAGAGCACTATTAATATATACTCGATTACTTCAAAAAGATGAGAACTAGCTAACTTCCTTTGCATGGGAATAAAGGGCCAGTTGCAATCCCCAAGATTCAGCAAGACTGCCTCGCCTTTCCACCCCACACCTGTTTTGAAGCATGAAATCGTGAAGCATACCGTGAAGAAGGTTCTCCCGTAGTTTCCCAGAAGTTTTTAATACGTTCTCAAGAAATGCTACTAGCTGTTCCTTACTCAGCTCTTTGTCTTGCAAGATTTCGCGTAGAGTTTCTGCAGAAACTAACCTGAAGGCACTGTCCCCGGGTAGCAAAGGGCCTGGTTCGTGGTGGAGAGCGTCCACCGGGAATACCTGCTCCCTGAACACCACCACCGAGGTCCACCATTCTGCGGCGAGGTTCTTCCGCAACTCTACGCCCAAGGGTCCAAAGCCGGGGTGGCACCCGCTCAGAAGAGAATCCCGGCTAAGCTGCTGCTTGCTTCCACTTAGGAAATGCCTTCTCTGACAGATCTCTAACAGCGCCTCGCTTCCCTCTCCAGACCCGGGGACTTCTGGGTGCTCGCCGTTCCCCTCGAGCTCCGCGTGCGACCTCAGGTGTCCTCCTTGGGGGCTACTCCTTTCCGTCAACAGCTCCGGCTGCCCCGCATCTACTCGACCCCCAAATCCAGACAACAGGCACCTGCAGACCTTATGGCAGGCCCTGACGGCAACACGAGAGCGCATCTCCCTCCAAAGTTAAAGAGCACGCTCTCCCATCACTCAGCGTATCCCAACAAGCCGCCACCACCGTTAACAGAATCCGGGTAGGCCAGGGCGCAGGCGCAACGGAGGTGAGCGTGCTTGCGGGCGGCAGGCCCCACCCCGGAAGCGCATCTCTGCGTTCCGGCGCCTGCCTTCCCC